TACATATAACTAGAGGCACACAAAACCACTTATTTACTCACATACACATATTCACTCATTCATCACTCAGTTGTTCTCTCTCTCTCTCTCTCTCTCTCTCTCTCTCTCTCTCTCTCCTCTCTCTCTCCTCTCTCTTTCTCTCTCTCTCTCTCTCTCGTCTCTCCTCTCTTCTCTCTGTTCTCTCTCTCTCTCCTTCTTTTCCCTCCTCTCTCCTCTCTCTCCTCTTCTTTTCTTGCTTACCTGTCGCCATCTGACGCGCCTTCTTCTTCGCTCCTCCTCGTATGCTGACAGGAGGTCTTTCTCGCTTCTACCTTCCTCTCTCTCTCTCTATCGTGTCACGTTTATCACGCACAGAGGTGTAGGAAAGAGAGGAGTAGAGGGAGTCGACGAGAGAGATTGTACACGGAGTAGCTATGCAGATATGTATATGAGATATAGAGCACACGCACGAGAGGCATGTTATGAAGAGAGAAGAGAAGCAAAAGAGAGAGAAGAGGAGAGACGAGAGAGAGAAAAGAAGAGAGAGGAGTAAAGAGAGAGAACAAGGAGAGAGAGAGAGAGAGAGAGAGAAGGAAGAGAGAGGGAGAGAGAGAGAGAATAGAGGAGAGAGAAGAGAGAGAGAGAGAGAGAGAAGAGAGAACAACTGAGTGATGAATGAGTGAATATGTGTATGTGAGTAAATAAGTGGTTTTGTGTGCCTCTAGTTATATGTATTTGCAGGTCATCTTACAGTATTAATGTTCTTACAGTGAAGCTTGACTCAGGGGATGAGGTAACATTCCTGGACACCCCAGGTCATGCAGCTTTCAGGGCAATGAGGGCCCGAGGAGCCAACGTCACAGACATGGTAGTCCTGGTTGTAGCAGCTGATGATGGGGTGATGGAGCAAACTAAGGAGAGCATACAGTTTGCTCATAATGCAAAAGGTATGTTTTACCATTGGATAGCATCACACACAACATTACCAAGATTTCCTGGGTATATAAAGATTGTTTAAACCTAGGAGAAAAAGGAACCATAAATATATAAAGCAGTGATAGTTGTATTTTATATGTATACATGATTAAAAGACAGTGATGTACTATAGGTACTATTTAAGAGGCATGTGAAGAGTATGGCCTATTTAGGGAAAGGGAGAATAGAGATGGTTTGGTGGGTGTGTTGGAGGTTTGCTAAACAGTACTAGATTTGTAAGGAAACACTCATTCACAAAAAAGAAATAAGGATAATACAGGGAAAAATGAGTAGTTTTATTGGGTAATCATAGAGCTAACATAGTAAATATATAGCTTTGTCTACAAAGGGATTTCTTACTTCAAGATATGAATGTACAATGGACTCCATGGTTTTCCTTCAGATTACACATACTGCATATTTTGATGTACAATTATATGATAAAAATGAACACAATCATGAAATTTTTATTATAGAGGAAAGATTATTAAGAAAACAAAAATTTATACTTGCCAGTAAATATACATTTGATGCATCTGTTATTATTGATGCTAATAATACTAATACTTATTATAATGAGTAAATCTAATACTTATGGTTACCCTCTTTGTCTGTTTTTCCTCCTCCTTCTCCCCCTTTTCATCTTTCTCTTTTCCCTCTTCCTCCGTTTTCCTCCTCCTTTGACCGCTTTTCATCTTTCTCTTTTCCCTCTTCCTCTGTTTTTCCTCCTGCTTCTCCCACTTTTCCTCTTCCTCCACTTCCTTCCTCTTCTCTTCCTCCTCTCCCCTTCTCCTCCTTCCTCTTCCCCTCCTCCTCCTTCTTCCTCCTCCTGTACCTCTTCTTCTTCCTCCTCCTCCTCCTTCCTCCTCCTCTCCTCCTCCTCCTCCTGCCTCCTCCTCCTCCTCCTCCTCTTCCTGCTTCTTCTCCTCTTCTCCTCCTCCTCCTCCTCTTCTCTCCTCTCCTCCTCTTCTCTCCTCCCTCCTCTTTCCTCTTTCTCTCCTCTCCTTCCTCCTCCTCCTCCTCTCCTCTCCTCTCCTCTGTTCTTCTCCTCTCCTCCTCCTCCTCTTTCTTCTTCCTCCTCCTCCTCCTCCTCCTCCTCTTCTCTCCTCTTCTTTTTCTCCTCCTCCTCCTCTTTCTTTACCATGTACACATTAGATCTGAGAACATTTTCATAAATCGTTTTCTCATGATTGCAGTTCCAATCATAGTGGCCATCAACAAGATAGACAAAGCAGGTGCTGACCCTGTAAGTAGAAGATTTGTTTGTAATTACAGAATAGAGATTAATTGCTCTTATTGTGCAAAAGACACTGCTCAACATGCCATATAGAACAAACAAATAAAACACAACTGGATGTAAGACTGAAATAAGATCTAAAAATGAAATAAAAATCTAACTTTTCATTTTTGAAATGTGCCTTGCATATATTATTTCAGACTAATTAGCAAAATTAAGTGTTTGATTAGATACTTTTTTCATTAAACCTTGTCATTTTTATGGTTTGAGTGAGTGAAGTTGGGGTAATCCACCACCATAAGAGTAAAGATGATAATACTATACACAGATAGTTTAATAATTTAATAAGTTACAATATATTTCTATCAATTAGAAACCATTATGAAGAATTTATGAATATGTTACAGTCACAGGCAAAACGTGATCTACTTGAATGTGGGCTGCAGCTGGAGGAGGACGGGGGAGATGTGCAAGCTGTTCCGATATCTGCTCTACAGGGACAGAACCTTGACCTGTTGGTGGAAGCTCTGGCAACAAGGCTGAGTTACTCAATCTACGAGCTGATCCTTTAGGCTTTGTTGAGGCAGTTGTGGTGGAGTCCAGGACAGATCCAGGGAGAGGGAAGGTGAGTGTCTGATTGTTTGTTTGCATTTGTTTTTTATTTTCTTAATTTTTTATTTCTTTGACTTTCAATTACTATCTCCATCAACTCATATGAGATTAAGTTGATTACAGAATGTGCTTTCAGAGGATGCCTTCATCTGTAAGTACCCAGTATAAACAAGTCATCCAATTGTTTTATTGTAAATCTTTGATATCAGGTTGCTACTTGTATCATCCAACGAGTACCTTAAGGAAGGGAGCTGTGTTGGTAGCCGGAAGAGCTTGGGCAAAAGTGCGAAACATGTTCAGTGATGGTGGAAAGCCCATTAAGGCTGCCCCCCCTGGAACGCCTGTACAGGTATGAATCATTTTTAAACCATTTTTCTAGGCTAAGTGGTGGAAATGTTTAAGAGGTCTTACCTTTTGGAATGCATGATCTGGAAGTGGGTCAAGATACATCCATTAACTGAATGGTTTTGGATAATCACACTGCCAGCTGTCATTTTCTTTTGAGAATTTTGCTTGCACATAGATGGCTCCACAAGTGCTCAGCCACCAAGGAGCCCATTAATGTCTACATTTCCTCAGCTAAATTTCCCTTTTCCAAAGTTTTCAGGAAAGATTCTATTAATATCAATCTTGTTATTATTGTTTTTATTATGATTATTATTGTTATCATGATTATTATATAATGTTATTAACAATACTAATAGTAATAAAAAATTAGGAATTTTTCCTAAATCAAGAATAAGGTATACTGGTGAATTAGGTATGATTAGTAGACAAATTGACTCCTTGGTGATTAAGCACTTAATCTGTGTGTATAGACAATCAATAAACAAAAAGACACAGCAGACACGGGATGTTTTCCTGCTATCTCGGCAGCGGTGGATTAACCCCAAACGGCCGGGCATGGCATGTACATACATGCCATTGCCGATTGTGTGTGTTGAATTTAGTAATTGTTTTTTACATATAGATGGCTCCACAAGTACAAAGTCATCAATGAGCCAATTACGTGAACTACCTGTCTCACCTGTTTACCCTTTTCCTTGATTTTCCATAATATTTTCTAATAGTATTACTGCTGTTAGTAATGTCAGTAACATATAGTAATTATAATGTTTATAACAAAAATAACAGTGTCATTATTGATAGCATTAGCAAAAAATATATATTTTTCAGCTCTTTCAAGGAAAAGTGAGGTCACAAGAATACTAATTGACTCCGGTGGCTAAGCATTGCAGAGCCATCTATGTGCAGAAACATTTAACCAGGCATCGCTAAAGGGAACACACTGTTTTCCCATTGACATTGGGTTAATTATCTGTTGCAGATAATTTTTGAATAAAATAGATAAATAAATAAATAGCTCCCGTGTTTTGACTACAGTCTTTATGTAGATTAACTTAACATCTAAAACTATAACGTCACACAGTGTATGAAGGCATTTAAGATATTTCAGATGCAGAGGACTTTGATATTGATATAGATAAACTGTTTGGAACAATGTTGCTTACAACTCCAACTACAATACTTCTAATATTTATGTATTGATATGCTTTGTTGATATTTTGATTATTCCTGAACTTATTTCAATGATTAATAGAGGCCAAAGGAAAAATAGTTGTTAAACCTTAGGCCTTGTGAATACTGGCATGAGCTTTAGTCATTACACTGAGTGGACAGTCATGAAAGGAAAAATTATGAGTGTATGGGTGATGTGGAATTTCAAAACGAAAGGTCTAGAACTTCTGTTATCATTATGGAAAGTACTGGTGATTCGAAGGTTACAATCTTAGTGCCAGTGTGGGATCCAAATCTTATAAAATTTATATTGAAACTAGAAGCATTTCAGTGTTTCAATTAAAAATTAGGCCGTATTGTAGTGCATGATTATTGGGAAATACTAAATGGCAGGCTGTTCTATTTACATTCATGGAGGGAAAGATCCTTTATTATGTATGCATGGAAGGTCACTTACCAAGAGAGTTAGAAGTGGAAATTAGTATAAGACATTCACCCAAACAGGGAAGAACATGCTATCACAGTTATTAAGGACAATACAGAATCAGTAGTAACAGCTCATTGGTTTGTCCCCAAGATGGGGCTGGCATAAGCAGCAAGCAGGACTCATTCTAGAACTACACTGAGTAAGTAACCAATTAAGTAAAAGAAGAGAATAGTTGAAAATAATTTGGGAATAATGTGTATTATCCCTCCAAAGGTGATTGGATGGCGGGATCTTCCATCGGCTGGTGATGAGGTGTTGGAAGTGGAGTCAGAGCACAGGGTCTCAGAGGTTATGCATTGGAGAAATGATATGGCAGCAAAAGAGAAGGAAAAGGAGGAGCTAATCGCCATACAGGAAAAACTTGATGAACATCTGAAGGTGTACCGTGCTCAGCTTGAAGAGAGACGTAGATTGGGTATCAGGTACTCTTAAAAATAAAGAAGCCATTTTAGCACGCAGAGAAAATATCTTTGCTTTATATATTGATGTACTAGTTATCTGGAAATACTTTTTACTGAAGTCTAAAGTCTTCATTATAAGTGCATTTTCAGATATAAAATGCGTCGCAAGGAGCCCAGAGAGAAAGAAATCAGAGAAGTAGCCACTGGACCCAAAGTATCAATTGTACTAAAAGGGGATGTAGATGGGTCTATAGAAGCCATTTTGGATGTTTTAGACACTTATCACAGTGAAGAATGTGACCTTGATATCATAAGTTATGGGGTTGGTATGGTCACCCCAAATGACATCACAATGGCAGCAACATTCTCAGGTACCAGTATAATTAGGAGTGTAACTTTTTACTGACCCTTCACAGTCATTTTCATGTGTTGTATAAATGATTATAATGGTTATAGCACACTGTCATTATCCTCATGAATTATTTTGCTCAGTGGATTTATGTTGAGTGTTGATATATTTTCATTATTTTGTTTGAATTATGAAATCTAATTCTTGCAGCTCTTAGTATGATTGCTCCAAAATATAGTATAAATCTTGATAGAAGAAGTAGAGTAGAGATGTGTTTGCTGGTTTTGATTATATCTTTGTAAGAAACACAAGCATCACCATAATCTTTTTTCAGTGTGTTTGTAAATGTGTCATCCCATAATGATGAGTTGATCAGTTTACTTACAGCCCATTTTCAACAGGTTCCATATATGCCTTCAACACCACAGTACCTCCAGAGATAAGAAAAATGGCCACAGAAAAGAGGGTCATCATTAAAGAGACCAATATTATATACCGACTGGTGGAAGACCTAAAGGAGGAGCTATCAGAACAGCTTCCTTTGAAAGATGTGGAGGAGGTTCTTGGTGTGTCTCTTCGTATCTCTTTTCATAATCATCTACGTGATTTTTTTGTAATATTTTTGTTTCTTTAAGTATTTGAACATTAAGGGATAAATGAAGAGTATACACTAACGGCTGGTTTGTTAAAATTGTGCGAGGCCCGACCCAAGGAATATGCATATATACAGACATCCATGTACATAGAAATAAATATATATCTGTCTATCTATCAGATATGTATACACTCATCTGCCTATCTTTATGGTAGATATGCATCTCTAGACTGATAGATATGCATCCATTTCATTGGGTCAGGCCTCACATAATTTTAACAAACAGACCATAAGTCAGTTGATTGTTACTTCAGAGTATTTTTTACTGAATGTATTATTAAATTAGTGTTGTAAATTTTCTCAGCATTTTTACTCCCAGAACACATTTTATCTATGAATCAGTTTCAAAAAAATGCATTTAACAGTAATCTAATAATTTTCATTAAAGGTGAAGCCAATCTTCTAGCCGAGTTTGTTGTGACGGAAGGCAAAAAGAAGATTCCTGTGGCAGGATGTCGGTGTGTCAAAGGAACACTGAAGAAGGACGCACTTTACCGTGTGATTCGGGGGCAAGATATCATCCATGAAGGTAAGGAATGTTTTTGCAAACATTTACAGACCTTTTGTAATAATAATGATAATGATAATAATTTTCCTACAGTATTTTGATTTGTTTGTTTTTTAACCCAATGCCACAGGGAAAATGTTGTGTTCACTTAGTGTTGTGTTAAATGTTTCTGGACATAGATGGCTCTGCCAGGGCTTAGCCACAAAGGAGTCAATTAGTAGATCTTGTGACCTCACCTTTCCTTGAGTTGTCAGGAAAAATGCTTGTTTTATAAGTATCAGTAATGATACTGTTATTTTTATCATAAACATTGTAATTACTATATTGTTGTTGGTATTCCTAACAGTAGTATCAAATACTAGAAAATATTGAAAATCAACTGGCTTATGGATGACTTAGTACTTGTGGAGCCATCTTTATGTAAAAACAATTACTAAATTAAACACACTGGGCATGGTATGCATGCACATGCCATTTCCGTCAGCATGTAGTTAAGTATCGCATAATGTATAACTTATTACAGGTCCTTTGGTTTCCATGCGCCACCACAAGTCTGAAGTTGAAACTGTAAACAGGGACAAGGAGTGTGGACTAATGTTTGAGGATGAGACACTGAGGTTTGAGCCTGGAGATCAGATTATTTGTTACAAGATCAATAAAGTGAAACAAACCACTGATTGGGATCCTGGGTTTTGAGTGCAAACAGTTTTGTTGTAAATAGTTTGTTGATAATTTGTATAGAAATGAGGAAAATAAACTGTTACAAACCACTTCATAAAAAAAAGTTATTTTCTTCCTCCTTTATGTAATTACAACTTCTTAAAATAGCTTGATGATATATTTTCATTATGTTGGTGAGATAATGAAGGACTGCTAAAATGTATCTACAAGTAACATTTCATTGCCTTTGTTATAACCTTATAAAACATATCCTACTTTGGTATGTGTTTAGTTTTGAGCAATTGTTATGAAATATGTACTATATTTAACATACACAGCTCAGATGGTGAAAAAATTTATATCAGAAATATTAAATTCAAGACCTGTATAGTGATGGAGGAAAGCCTATTATCACTTGACTTGAGATTTATGTCATGGCTAACTTGATCATAGCTCCGGGTCACGGCCAACTTGGGCACTGCTCCAGGCAATTTATTATGATAATGTGTGCATTACATCTTATAATGTTCTTTATAAGGAACCCTCTTGCCAATGCTACATGCCCTAAAACTTCACTCTTGTTTAAAAGATCAGTCTCCTGGTTTGTACCACTCAATGTCTTTTGATGCACACATAAGGGAAGTACTGAGGCCATGGTGAATGGCAACCTTACATATCTCTGCATACAATCTCTTATTTTGTAAAAATCAGATTTTTTTTTTTTTCTTCTTTCTTTTTTTTCTTTTCTTTCTTTTTTCCTATCCCTCAATAAAACCACTTTCCATCTTGTACACTGAGTGTAACATGTCTTTTTTATTGAATACACTCTATATATATATAAAGCAACTGTAGCTTTCTTTAGCAACTAAAATGCATATTATGCATTTTTGAATATGCAAAAATATTACAATCATGTTTTGGATATAAGCGATAAAAAAAAAAAAAAAAAAAAAAAAAAAAATCATATCACCTTGATGATATATATAGTAGGTATATATATATATATATATATATATATATATATATATATATATATTATATATAATATATTATATATAGTATGATATATATATGATATGTAGTAGGGCAAGCCACATCCAGCCACATTTGAAATAGGCAACGTGCGAACAATTTTGAGAAATTGTTACATGCTGGGAATTTCTCCTGCAATACTTGGGAATGCAGGTAGATGATAGAGTTATAAGATTTTGTTAATATCAAGAATAAACATGATTTTTTTTTTTTTTTTTTTTTTTTTTTTTGCAAATAATTAAAAAACTGTGGGCATTAAAACAAATATATTATATATATATTATATATAATATATATATATATAATATATATATATATATATATATATATATAAGTATATTATATCCTTAGGGATCTCACTAAGGTCTAAATAAAAGGGTGTTT